CATCACACTAGAACAAACTACAAAATCATTTAGATCTCAAACTAATAACATGATACGAATGAACTCTATTTGACTAAAATCATTAACGGAGCAGGTCTACCTAAAGATCAATCCATTCAATTCATTTAATCCATAGTAGTGAAGCCATGTACCCTTGCAATTTATTTTACCTTTATTAGAGAACTACTAAGCAGTGCAATGAATTCTACTACCAGTTGCTTCACCATGCCTTCACCAAGGCTTCTCTGCTCTCTAATTAGAGTAGCTTTTATTTGACCTAAATATATTGCTTTAGTTGCTATTCTAAGACAAATCCATATTTAGTGAATAAACCCTTAGGTCTTGTGACTTATGAGCAAAAGATGACAGAATAAGCCATTTTTGCTGTCTATCCACAGATAGTAATCTTTTGCAGTTTTATTTAAAAAAAAATTATAATGGTATACAAATGTTTTAATGTATTTTTATTATTATTTTTTTTATAGAAAGGTAGCGCTTTAATTAACACAGCTATGACCAAAGCCAGTCCAGCTATGAAGAATGCCTATAAATTTGTAAGTAATAATGTTATTTATTTGGGATATTTTTTTAATACCTTATTATTTAGAAAAGCTTGCGATGGAAAAAACGCATTGTTGGATATAAATAATTTATTTCTCAGGGTGCATAATTTATTTATGTATTTATTTATTTACATTTAGTCTGGAAATTCAGCAGGATGTTTTTCAGTAGACTTGGGGATGCCTGTCAAACCTATGATTCCAAGGATGCTGTGACTGTATCATGGGTTTAAATATCGTTATATATTTTAGACCCTAAAACAGGGTCATAAAACATATGGCCGTAGCCATATATGGTTTATATATGGTTCTCCCATGAAAAAGGGAATGTTTTTACCTGCTGGTTATGTGCCTTATGTACATGCAGCCAGTCTAGCAGTACTGACACTCTTGAGTAACTGGGAGAAAAGAGGAACTTAATTGCGCTTAGCAAGCATTCCATTCGTCCACTTTCTTCTCCTCTGCATCATGCTGTGCCACAGCTTCTGTGCTTCCTACATGCAACCCGCAGGCAAGTGAAAAAGTGCTCAAATAATATAATTTAACAAAAAATATTTGCAGATCTTCTTTTTTCTACCTTCCATCTTTGAATGTATGAAATTGAGATAGAGGTGGGCACGCCTATAAAAGATATGCCAGTAATGCAGCTGACACCACTAATGATGCCCAAAGAGACTGCTCTGTCCCAAAAAAGAGGAGGATCCTCTGAAAAGGGATGTGTAGACATGGCGTGAATACACACCAGACAAATTGGCCATGCTCTGCCTATGGGCAACTGCGTTTAATGATGCACTGAGAACAGTCCTCTAATTTGAGACATCCGGGCCCAACCCAGAAAGGTATGACAGGACCCTGAAGCCAGGAATGCTTCACTGAACCTGGCACTGATGGGTAGTATGTGTATACAATCCATAGGGAGAATCACATCAACTCATATTGAAGACATTACAAATCAATTAGGCATAGTAAAACCCCTATCTAAGGTACAAATAAGGGTTTTGTCATATAATATGAATATATAAAAATTCTTATCCTATCAGCCCTAACAAAACACCTCAGTTCTGGCTGATTCTAGTATTTATTAGTAATGAGATTAATCTACTAAATTGTACCCGTTACACTGGACCTCATGCCTCTACTTTATATATTCTATGTGAACGTGTACATGCAGCTGCAAAATCTAATTCTGTCCGTAACACACTATTTTTTCCAAAGATGAATAGCAAAGCATGGGGATCATACTGAGCTAATGTTTCTCAGTTAAAGTAATATCATTTCATACCAAACACCAGTTATATACTATGGAGAATAACGTTCAATTCATTGAAACAATATCACATAAGGAATTACACTGATTAATCTCTTTAAGACCAGTGACATTCCGTGTTTTGAAATAGAAGCATTTGCTTAATCTCTGATCCATTAGGGGTTAATAACCCGTAAAACAGGCAAATAGCACAAATTCCCATCAATATGGCTTTACAAAAATAAAAAAAAAGCTTGCAATGTTATTATATTAGAACACTCAGGTGCATCGTTTAGGACATAACTTGCGTTTTATAGTGTTTTTACTTGCAAACGATGACAGCAAGATACAAATTATAGGGAATGTGGCTTAGGGATGCATTAAGATGAACTAGAGAGCCTTCACTCTGTTTTTAAAGATGTTGTACCATCTGTACTAAAGTATTGAACGCAATATATTTAGTAATTGCTTACATTGCAGTCTGTGCTCTGTGTACGCCATGTCTGTCATGCCATAGTATAATTTGCTTGATATTGTATTACTTGTGTGAAAGAAATAAACATAAAAAACAATCTGGGTATTTTAATGTCATTAAACTAATGCATGCATTCATACCTACCAAATGTCTCTGTTTATTAGGAGGGACGGTGCCATATTGTGGGCCCAAATCCCTCTGTCCCTCATTCTGCCCTAATGTCCCTCTTTTCTTGGAGCTCCATATTGTTGGTGTGTCAAAGTGCATAACATGGCAATAAAACTCATAGATGTGTCTTTTAAGGGATACTATAGGCATCAAAACAACTTTAGCTTAACAAAGCAGTTTAGTGTATAGATCATGCCCACGCTGTCTCACTGCTCAATTTTCTTCCATTTAGTAGGGATCGACCGATATTGATTTTTTAAAGCCAATGCCGATACCGATATTCTGTGAACTTTCAGGCCGATAGCCGATATAATTTGCCGATATTCTGTACATTTACCATTTTGGAAAATAAAAACTATTTCTAAAGGTAAATGCACAAAATATACATGCCACGTGTAGTGGTTGCAGTGTGTTTAGACAGGGGAGCTGTATGTGTTTGTGTAGTGTGTGTAGTGGATGCAGTGTGTGTTTGTGTAGTGTGTGTAGTGGATGCAGTGTGTGTTTGTGTAGTGTGTGTAGTGTATGCAGTGTGTGTTTGTGTAGTGTATGCAGTGTGTATTAGTGTAGTGTGTATATAATGAAAGCAGAGTGTTTGTGTAGTGTGTGGGTAGTGTGCGTAAAGTGAATGCAGTATTTACTAAATGCAAAGTGTGTGTGTTTGTGTAGTGTGTGTATATAATGAATGTAGTGTGTTTATATAATGCAGAGTGTGTGTGTTTGTCATAGGCGTGCGCACGGGGTGTGCCGGGTGTGCCTGGGCACACCCTAATCCCCGTGGCACGCCTATGGTTTGAGTCCTGCAGGAACAGCGTTCCTGCACTTTTTTTGAGCAGGAACGCTGTTCCTGCAGGCACTCAGTGCCCCCTGTTTCACCTCTTGCCCCTGTCATGGGGAGGGCAAGAGGTGATGGATTCCCACGCCCCACTCAGCGCGCGGCGTGGGAGCTCTCTGCTGTCGGCTCTCTGCTCCCTCTCGCCGCGCGCTGATGCCGGGAGCCGGAATATGACGTCATATTCCGGCTCCCAGCTGCAGCAGACAGCCCGCGCGGCAGAGGGAGCAGAGAGCCGACAGCAGAGAGCTCCCTCGCCGCGGCTCAGCTGGAGAAAGGCGCCCGCCCCCACTGGACCCCAGGGAAAAGTCCACCAGCACTCCAGGTAGGAGGCTGGGTGGACATTGTTTTTTAAAATTAAAATATAATAATTTGTGTGTGTGTGTGAGTATGTGTGTGTGTGTGTGTGAGTATGTGTGTGTCTGTCAGTGTGTGTGTGTCTATAAGTATGTGTGTGTGTCTGTGAGTATGTGTGTGTGTGTGTCTGTGAGTGTGTGTTTCTGTGAGTATGTGTGTGTGTGTTTCTGTGAGTGTGTGTCTGTGAGTATGTATGTGTGTGTGTGTGTTTCTGTGAGTGTGTGTCTGTGAGTATGTATGTGTGTGTGTCAGTGTGTGTGTGAGTGTGTGTCTGTGAGTGTATGTGTGTGTCTGTGAGTATGTATGTGTGTGTGTGTACGTATATATATATATATATATATATATATACACACACACACACGCAGAGCCGGCGCTATCTGAGTGCCGGCTCTGCTCTAAGCCTTCATGGGCCGGCGGGGAGACCAAAGATCTACCTCACCGGCCCACAGCAGCATGGAGGGAGGCAGTAGAGGACCCAGGGAGCTCTAGACAGAAGCTCCGCCAGGTTCCTCTCGCGATATCTGAGCGTTGCTGCGGCAACGCTCAGATCTCGCGAGAGTTAACTCTAGCCCCGCAGGCTAGAGTTCACTCTCCACTGGACCACCAGGGATGGCACATGGCAGCAAGGATTTACTAATCTGCCAAATCCCTCCAAACATACAGCACACACACATACAGCACCTACACACATACAGCTCACACACACACAGTACACTAACCGCACCCTCACAAACACACACAGCACCTTTAAAAAAAACACAACACCCTCACACACAGCACACTAACAGCACCCTCACAAACAGCACCCTCACAAACAGCACCCTCACAGGACAAACATACACACACAAACACCCTCACACACAAACAGCACAGTCACAAACACGCACCCTCACACACACATCACACTAACAGCACACAGCACACTAACAGCACACACAGCAGTGTGTGTGTGTGTGTGTTTATATATATATATTCATACACACACACACATACGCGCGTGGCGTGTGTTTGTGCTTTAGGGTGCACACCCTAATGCAATAGGCTGCGCACGCCTATGGTGTTTGTATAGTGTGTATATAATGCAGTGTGTTTGTGTAGTGTGCATTATATAAACACACTATGCAAACACACACTGCATTATATACACACACTACACACACACTGCATTATATACACACTACACACACACACTGCATTATATACACACACACACTACACACACACTGCATTGTGTGTATATCTAATGCAGTGTATGTGTGTATATAATGCAGTGTATTTGTGTAGTTTGCATTATATACACACACTATACAAACACTGCATTATATACACAGTGTGTTTGTATAGTGTGTGTATATAATGCAGTGTATGTGTGTATATAATGCAGTGTATTTGTGTAGTGTGCATTATATACACACACTATACAAACACTGCATTATATACACAGTGTGTTTGTGTAGTGTATGTGTATATAATGGAGTGTGTGTGTGAGGGGGCATTTTTTATAAAAAAAATTTTTTTTATATTTAATTATTATTTTTGTTGTCCCCCCTCCCTGGTTGTTGCCTGGCCAGGGAGGGGGGATAGGACAGTCCCTGGTGGTCCAGTGGTATTGGCTGAGCTTGGGGGGGCGGAGAGCAAGCGCTTACTCACCTCCCAGCAGCTCCTCCAGCTCCCCGGTGTAACTCTCGCGGCCAGCGTGTCGCGCGGAGCATTGCCATGGCAACCCATGGCAACGCTCGGACGGCCACGGGTCTCGCTAGACTTACACTGGGGAGCTGGAGGAGCTGCTGGGAGGTGAGTAAACGCTTGCTCTCCGCCCCCCCAAGCTCAGCCAGGGCTTGTGATGACCGCCAGGAGCTGCTGGGAGGTGAGTAAGCTGTTTCCCCAGGACTGCTGGGCTTGTAATGAGCCTGGCGGTCCTAGGAGGTATTATCGGCAATATCGGTATCTGAATTGGCCGATACCGATATTGTTGAAAATACCGAATATCGGCTGATTATATCGGTAAAACCGATAATCGGTCGATCCCCACCATTTAGGAGTTAAATCATTTTTGTTTCTTTTATGCAGCCCTAACCATACCTTCCCTGACTGTGACTCAAAAAGCCTGCATTAAAAATGGTTTTATAATCATATGTTAACTTACTTTAGGAAGCTCAATCTCCTGCTCTTTAAATTGAACTTTAATCACACACAAGAGGCTCTGCCAAGCTGTAGAAGTCAATTAACCAAGCAGGAGATAAAAAATTCTAGATTAAACAGACTGTGCAATAAAATTAGATCTCTCTTCACAGGATGTGTTTTGGAAAGCTGTGCAAGTCACCTACAGGAAGGTGTGGCTAGGGCTACATTAACAAAATGAATTAACACCTAAATGGCAGAGAATTGACCTCCACAGCAATTGCAATCAACCCAGACAGCCCCCCCTTTAGCCAAACCAAACTATTTAAGTCATGTGATCACATGAATCAGATTGAATTGATTGATTGATTGGCAGATTCTCCAATATATAATCGATAAAATAAGCTAATTTTATATAAATAATATAAATTGTACCATTAGAAAATAAATATATATATAATAATATATACCATTAGAATAATATATATATGTATGTGTGTGTGTGTGTGTATGTGTGTATATATATATATATATATATATATATATATATATATATATATATTAGCAATTAGATATTGGGTGCTGCCTAACAACCCAGGCAGAAATTCCAGAGAATGTAATTTTCAAGCACTATATTTGACCATGTAACTTTCCAATATCCTATAAAACCTGTGCACCGGAGATTGTGTTGTACTTGTGATACATCATTAAACATAAATATGACTGTTTTAGAGCAGTAAAACATATAATCATGAAGATATCAAAGAAAGTGTTAAAAGTGCAAAAAATGAATACTTAATATGAAAGCGATAAATTATGGTTAAACAGACATACAACACAAATTCTATGTTTTGTTTTGGTTCAGAGCTTGAACAATTGTGAGTAACTTTTAAGTCCTGGTTAGTAGCACAGGACTTAAAATTATATTAAATCCTTACAGCATAAAGAATTAAAGCCAATTCACCATGATCTGAATAGAAGGGTGAAATCCAGAGATGTCTTTGTAATTTTATATAGCTAGCACCGTACATCTAGAAATTATGTTTTTACAGAAGGTTAAAGTAAAATTAATTATCAGGTGTGCACATTAGTTTTTATGTAGAGAGCAGGGGACATTATAATGCAAAGTTACGGATATCATTTTTTTTCAATAATGGGTTGGTGGTCTTGCTACAGAGACCAGAGTAAGGGCCCCCACCCTCAGTCTGACTTACTCATTCCATTTAAAAAAAGATAGGTAAAGCATTTTTCTTGTCAATAAAAGAATCACTCTTTAAAGCACTTATCACAATCTTTAATTCACTCTACAGGCCAAGCAAGGAATGAAGGAGGTGAAAAGCAAGCTGAAGAACAAAGTAAGGATCGTTTTCAAGGCCAGAGCTGCATATTTTAAGAAATCTTTCTGCTTTTGCTGTACTAGCTATGAAGAATAGCAAAAGATATATAATAGGCGCTCACTATGAATGTTCATATTACAAAAGGGACAAAGTGGGCTGGAGTTAACATCATTGGTAATGCATTATGAAGTGTATTGCCACATGTGGCATCAGTTCCAGTAATGAAATAAAATGAATAGAACTGTTAATTAATGGAACACTCCGAGCACCGTAACAACTTAAACTAAGTTAAGTTGTCATGGTGCCATTAGGACCACAGGTGCACTCTTACCTTAAAGGGACACTCCAGCAGGGCAGGACTGGGGACACGAAGCAGCCCTGGAAAAAAAATCTATGCCAGCCCCATAAGTCATTGTGCTATGTAGGGTGTTTTTTTTTTTTTTTAAATATATATTTTATATATATATATATATATATATATATATATATATATATATATATATATATATATATATATATATATATATATATATATATATATACACATACAATTTAAATAGTTGGCTGCACTCTCGGATTTCCTGAAAATGTAACTTTTATTGAAATATTTAAGAGAAGATCAATGTTTCAGTCCCTCTTGTGGACTTTCGTCATGATCCTGATGCAAGTCCACAAGAGGGACTGAAACGTTGATCTTCTCTTAAATATTTCAATAAAAGTAACATTTTAAGGAAATCCGAGAGTGCAGCCAACTATTTCAATTGCCTATATATATACTGGATACTGGAGCCCTGGTGATGCAACAATATATATTTATATATATATATATTTTATTTTTTTATTTTTTATTGATACATTTCTTCTTCTAATTCAAAATATTAGTTTTTTTAGGGTAATTAAATTATACAGTAAAGCATACTCACACACAGACAGACAATCTTACTGATGCACACAAATAGGCTCATTGACAGACAATGACACACACAGACAAGGTTACTGGCACATACAAATTTAGTACAGACAAACTCTGATACACACACACAAGCTTACTATAGACAAGCTCACTGTCACACACACACGCTCACTACAGACAAGCTCACTGATGCGCACACACTCTCCCTACAGACAAGCCCATTGACACACACGCTCCCTACAGAAGAGCTCACTAACACACAGATTCACTACAGACAAGCTCACTGACACACACATGCTCACTACAGACAAGCTCACTGACACACATATGGTCACTACAGACAAGCTCACGATCACACTCATGCTTACTACAGACAAGCTCACTGTACACACATGCTCATCACAGACAGGCTCCGATACACCCATTCTCCTTACAGACAAGCTCACTAACACACACACACATATGATCCCTACAGACAAGCTCACTGACACACATACAAGCTCACTCACTAGCAGGCACACACCCACACACACAAAGTCACTAGCAGGCACACACACACACACACAGAGGCTCCCTCACTAGCAGATGCGCGCACACACACACACACACAGAGGCAGACAGTCACTGACACCCAGGCAGACAGCCACACACACACACAGGCAGACAGTCACTGACACCGAGGCAAACACCCACACATACAAAGACAGGCAGACAGTCACGCACACACACAGGCAGACAGTCACGCACACACACACAGGCAGACAGTCACGCACACACAGACAGTCACACACTCACACACACAGGCAGTCACACACTCACACAGAGACAGTCACACAGAGACAGTCACACACTCACACAGGCAGTCACACAGGCAGTCACACACTCAAACAGACAGTCACACACTCACACAGAGACAGTCACACAGGCAGTCACACACTCCCAAAGAGACAGTCACACACTCACACATGCAGTCACACACTCACACAGAGACAGTCACACACTCACAGGCAGTCACACAGACAGTCACACACTCACACAGACACACTGACCTCCTGCTTGGAGCTCCTGGAGGCTGGTTGTTGGGGAAGCAGGGACTCCTTCCTGCATCCCATGCTGCAGTCAGCCAGGCCCCCGCCGACGCCAAGCCCCCGCCTCGCTAGCCCCGCCCGCCGCACGTAAGCTCCACCTCCTAAATCTTTTTATGATCCTGGCCGGCCATGTGTGAGCTGTGCCGGCCGCCTGGCTCCCCCTGCTCCCATGGGGCTCTATGTGGCCGCACAGCTCACACATGGCCAATGATTAGGGCTGTCAGACCAGCGCCAGGTGCCGCGACCCACCGGGAAATATGCCGGTGGGCCAGTCCGGCCCTGCACTCCAGGCACCCAGAACACTTCTGCCCATTGGAGTGGTCTGGGTTCCAACTCCCACTACCCTTAAACCTGCAACTGTAAATATTGCAGTTTTCATAAACTGCAATATTTACATTGCAGGGTTAACTCCTCCTCTAGTGGCTGTCTACTAGACAGCCACTTGAGGGCACTTCTGGGTTTAGAGCACAGATTTTCTATACACACGCTATGTGAGGACCTCCAGCGTCGCTGAAATCCCCATAGGAATGCATTGAAAGCATTTTTCAATGCTTTCCTCTGGGGAGGTGCCGCACACGCGGAAGTAGGAAGGAATCTTCCCTGGCTGTTTGACTGACAGCCGGAGGGAGTTCCCCAGTTAAATTATAAAAGTGCTGATTTCTCAGAGAAATCAGCACTTTTATAAACTGGGGTTAAATGAGGGTACTCCTCACCCATAAAGCACTCCAGCAAGCTGAAGTGCTTTTGAGGTGTGGAGTGGTCCTTTAAGAAGCCAGATGCTGCCTGGGGGACCTGAGGATCCGTACTGGAAACGCACTTTGGGGTTAAACTGTTCAACAACGGTTTAACCCTTTAGCTTAGAGTGCACCAGGCTCCTGGTACTATAATAACTTCACTTAGATAAAGTTGTTATGGTGCCTAAACTTTCCCTTTAAGCTGATAGCAGCTACACATTGACCGCTATAAGCTTACTGACAGCTCCATTCAC